TTGCTACTTGGCTTGTGTATGTTGATATTTATTGTTGCCTCAGAAGCTGCAACTGCACTGATCATCTTTTCCTACATTTGTTCTTTTATGTGGGATATACGGTCTAGATCATCTGCAATGTCTAGATTGTCAGTTTAAATCTGAGCTATGCATTGTATCCTGGCTTTGCCCAAAAATGTTGACTTCTTTAAAATCTAGTCGACCACTTTGAGAAGAAGAAAGGATGAGATTAAGCCACCTTATCTGACACCAGTCTTCACTTGAAAGGAGTCTGTGAGCTGTCCTCATCAAAAAAACGGATAACTGTTTATTATTGAAATTACATCGATGGCGGATTATCGATTGATCATGAATAGTGTATAGAATTCAGAAATAAGATAACTATTGGTATTTTAAATCTTTTATCGATTCTGAATAAAATGTGATCAATTCCAAAAACACTTTCATTGAACACCATACAAGATCCGAAACGCTATCAAAAATATACAAACTCATTTTCATTTCTACAAACTAACGATAACAGTAGAATTATGAATCACGTACTTCAGTCAATACAAACAAAATAAATATCTTATGATCAAGTCACAAATTCAAATACGTGATACAATTTTACAAGTATTCAGTGTAAGTCATGAAAGTTACACCTCGAAGATATTATGAATTTGCCGAGAAAAATCGATAAATGGATTTGTAAAAATTATTGTTCGGTAAATTGAACCTTGAACTTAGATGGTACTTTTGTTTGGTCACTCAACAATAAGGTGTATCTGTAACTTAAAGCCAATTGAATATTCATCTAGAAATTCACATTCTCATCATTTAATCGTGTAGTTGAATAGTTTGAAAATAAGCTACAAGGTTGTACTATTTGAAAAGTCAATTTTATTTTCGTTGTTTTAATCTTTGATTTATGCTCAAAATTAATTCAATCATTGCATGTCATCCTTATTCCAAAATAGAACGAATAAGACATAATTGTGAAATGAGAAAATCGGTCAATATTCGCATACAAGCAAGAAAGTATGATCTGAATTGGTTACAACAACAAGAAGTATCCATTGATCAAAATAAATATTCAAGTGATAAAAATGTATTTACATTGAATGTAAGAAGCATCAATCATTTTTATGCATCTTAATTCATAAATAGCGAAACTGCTGATTATTATTGCTTTGATTTTTATATTTCATTGTGTGTTCATTGGTGACTAGCTCCTTGGAGGGGAATTTCTCTGAGTTCTAGTGAGAAGTTGTAACTTGGAGAAATCAACCCTGTCGAGTGTGAAGCAGTGCTCATCGAAAAGACCGAAGATCTTGGGCTCGATCCCAATCGGTAGCGTTGTGGATGTGCATTGCTAATGAGTCTCATACTAAGACGAATCGGTAGTCCAATACTTCCAGGCGTCTAATATTGGTCTAACATTAATCGATTCGTGATTGCAATTGAAATGGTTTTGGTATCTAGATTGAAATTCAGTCAATTTACAGCTTTGATGTGTATCAGAGTAGAGTTGATGACTACAATCCATAAAGTAAAAGATATAAAATTGTTTAATTTCATTTTCATGTTTGTCTAATAAATATATCATGTTTTACTAAAAACGGGATAACATTCATTGAATAAATTGTCAATTATTGAGTCACTTATTTACGCGGAACTCACCCTGGATCCCCTCAGGGGCTACCACTGGTCCTAAGCCCGAATAAAGGAGGATGGTTGGGCATGTGATCAGCGACTCCATACCGCTGAAAAACGCTAACCAGGATGATCGATTCAAACCATTTAGAAGGGTTATGTACTCTCAAGAGGAAAGACGAGTTCCTTAGTAACTCATGAGGCAATTACCCCTTCTAGTAAACGGAGCAACAATTATTTTAGGTATATAGAATGTTCGTACAATGTGAGAGACCGCGAGAATCATCCATGTTGTTGCAGAGTTAAAAAGATACAACCTGGTGGTTCTTGGAATCAGTGGAACACAGTGGACACTGGTTCCATAATTATGATTAGGTTCACAAAAGCTGCCATTATACTCCAGTTAGCAAGAAGGAAATGCTCAATATACACAAGGAGTTGAACTGATTCTGTTCGAAGAAGCCCAAAAACACTGATGGGATAGGAATCTCATGCTCCTAGGATCATCAAAGCATCTTTGAAAACAAAGCAAGAGGGCATTACAATGAACGTCATCCAATGTTATGAGCCTATCTACGATTACGCTGAAGAAGCTAAAGATCAGTTCTGCCAGAGGCTGCAATCAATCGTTGAAAAACGTTCAACAAAGGATTTGAATTTTCTGATTGGAGACCCAAATGCCAAAGGTGGAATAGGCACACTGAATATGAAGACATGATGGGACGATATAGACTGTGAGGATGGTGAGACATTTGCAAATCTGTTTGCCTTCAAAAATTGGCCAACGGGGCCAACGACATCATACAAGTTTAATCCGGCCTCAATTAGGGATAATGACAGACTCGAAAAATTCATGATAGCCCTCAGCAATAGATTCCGTGATTTTCATAATCTACTCAATGGAGAGCAAACTACTCTTACTAGCAATGTCTTACACCCTTATAGTAGGAAGGTGCAAAGTTCTGAACAGTAGACTCGTACTTTCATTAATAGACGTATATCTCGCCTATTTCATAAGTGACGCAGGTTTGAAAAGGCCAGTAGAGCCTTCTGTATCCGTGCTGAGATTTGGTCAGTCACTAGGCCATTAGCACTGATGAGACCCCTAACTCAGTATTCACATAATGTTTTCATTGTTATATTTTCATTTATGATTTGATAGGATTACGGGGTTGTGAAGATTGTTAAGTTAAACATTAGAAATCATGAATCGATCAGTGCTAGACTACCATTAAAAACGTGGAATCACTGGACGGCGTGCAGAGGTTAGGCATTAGCACGCAAGACCGAAGGTCCTAGGTTCGAATCCTGAGAGATGCGGGAGTCGTGGATACGCACCGCTGATCAATCCCATACCAGGACGAAACGGCCTTCCAGTGCTTTCAGGTTTCTAATGGTGTTCTAACACTGCTCGATTCAAGATTTCAGATTTATTATGCGTTATAATTAAGTTCGCATTATTTTGAGGTAAAGCAATTCACTAAATCACATCTGTTAAACAAACTGCAACTCACTTGACAAGATGTTTTATAACTCAAATTACACAATCATTTTTATACATACTTACCTTCCTCCTTGGGTTTGAAACAGCCAATAACCCTTAAAATACTTTCAAAACAGAATAATCTTCATACATATAAATAACAAAAATACTTTATTTAAACACTGTATTTTATGATTAGGATAAAACTAGTAAGTTTATTCAATTTATTGAGTGAATAAAAAGCAGGGGATATTTATTAAATCAATGATACTTTAAAATTGTTGTCAGATTATTCCTACTTCATCTGTTTAGGTATAACATCGTATAAACTAATTCTACTAGTCTAGCAAATCTATCTTAAATTTAAATAAATTTAGTTATACAGTTTGAAAATTCACAATTTCGTTAGATTGATCAGGGCTAGACATTAGTACCCTATAGATGATGATGCCTCAATGGTCCAAAGGTCAGGTGTTCGCGCTCAAGGTCGGAAGTTCCTCTGTTCGAATCCTGCGAGTAGCGGGAGTCATGCATGCTCACTGATGATGAGTCCTGTACCAAGATGAAACGGCCGTCCAGTGCTTCCACATTTCTAATGGTGCTCAAACCATGATTGATTCACCATCTCAGTAATAAGTAACAATCTCCATAACTCTACAAATGTGTTGGGGATGTTAGATTCCCAAAACTTGCTTGATAAATAGCTTATTTTGGATTTCACGTTTGCAAGCATGGGCTGATCAGTCGACCCTGAGATTTCATTTCCCACCACGAAAATCCATGGCTGTGTATTTTAGTGTGCTATTTTCTAAACTGTCCCAACGACGTTTCTATGATGTATAAATAAACGAGAGTTGTGTGCTTGATTGAATTGTGATTGCTGGATGTTTGTAGAATATACTTTCTATGCTTACAAAGCCTTTTTTTCTTCAGCTTGCGATTCAAGATAACCTACCTGAACACTGGTGAACTCGTATTAGCTTCAAACGGACCAAGTGACGAACATAACAAAATGATGATACACTTAATTGAATGTATAATAGAAGTGTTTATATTTTGAGACAATATAATCCTAATTTTATTTTATCTTCATTTATGTGTTCAACTTTTTATTTATATGTTTATTCATTGAAAGGTATTTGGAATTGCAATTCTACAGTTTACAATTACTTTTGGCGGGACAAATTTATTCATTCTAATGTATGTGTTGTGTTTGTTGAAGTTAATTTAAGTTAAATTTATTTTTAGCCATTGGATTAGTGAATGGGTTCAACAAAACAAAATGATTCATTGGTTTTCCAGGTAAATGACTATTCACTTTCCTATTAGAAATAATATTGTTATTAATGATAATAACAGATACTTTTCTAAATGAAATGAATGCTAAATGTATACTACTTGTAGGATCCAAACTGTGGTTTGGACGGAAGAATAACTGTCCAGGTAGTTTATGTACGCGCTATTACCCAGTGTAAAACCGAAGCAAGTGATTTGGGTAAATGACGGTTCTATTATTCATCGTAAGTATGAATGTAAATCATTTTCTAAATAAATATTACCACTCAGTCGTTCCACCAAAAATTGTTCAGTTAATCAAATCCACAACAGCAACAAATAAATGTTATTCTTTCCGTCCTGGATAGATCAGATTCGTTCGATAGGTAATTTTTGGTTGCTTTATAATACAGAGTGTTTCCATTTCTGGAAGGGTGCTTCAATTCACAATCTAGATGCACAGTTCCACTGAAGGAAAGCAACACAATCAAAAGAGTGACAAATCAATATGGCTGTCACCATGACTAAGTATCAGTTTAAACAACATAAATGAACTTCAGAAAGAAACATAGAAACTCAGAGAAGGCAAAAGTAATAGAAACTTTAATAAAATACAAATATTATCATTTCAGAGATGGAATCGAACAGATTAACAAAATGCACAACTGAAGGAATCAATAAGAGCAAACTACAAATGTATACATGGAGGGATTTTCACAAAAACAAAGTCTTCAAAACTGAATCTAACACTACTTGTCAGTACTACTCACTATCATTCTCCGTTATATTTATTCACATTTATTCATCTACTACTAATTTCTATACTGACAGTATAAAAAGTTCGATAAAATAATCAAGCAAACATAGTGATTGAATTGAGATCTTACTCGCTTAAAACAATTCACACAAAATTCAAACCAAACAGATAGTGACCAGCTTGTATATTTGGGCTATCTGTCTTGTTGAAATCAAATATATTTCAACAGGTTACTTGTTTCTGTCTGTTTTAACATGTCACATATCTATGAATCACATAATTTATTCAGAGCTTACATAAAATGTTTATGTGCTATCGGCTTCGTAAAGCACAAAAATACAGTACAATTCAAGACATCACAGTGGCTAGTAATTTGTTAATAAGATGTCAATTCTTGAGCTGCTTACTTCCAACTGTTAATCTCTAATGGTTTTGTAAACTGAAACTTGTTGAAATATTGCGTGAGGAAAGTTGAACAGTGTACTGAACATATATTATTTAATAAAATCATTATTATTAAAATTATTATTATGGTTATTATTTTTAGATTATAACTGTTTCATTACCGTCCTAAAATTACTTACTTACCTAATTGCCTACTCCTGTTACCCCCCATGGAACATAGGCTGCCAAACAGCATTTCCCAGCCTACTCTGTCCTTAGAATTTCCATTCCGGCTGTTCCCAATTGCTTTTCATTTTTTTCATGAATGTCTTTAATTATCGGCAAAGTGTGTTGTTCAGTCTACCCCTTCTCCTTTATCCTTGATGATTCTAAGTTATTACTTGCCTCGTCACTTAGTCGGGTTTATTTCCCCAATGTATGTCCCATACACCTTAACTACTTTTTCTCAATTACTTCCTCACCTGGAGGAAGCTGGTTTGTTCTCTGCCACAACAGGTTGTTACTGATGATGTATGGCCATGGATCCACATGATATGGTAATAAACACCTGAATGTTGTGGATGATGGCTGTTGCAGTTCTTCAAGCCTCCACTCCATTCGACAGGAGATCTGTCTTGACTTTTGTATTAAAAATTGTGAATTTGATGTTGGCTGTTCGACTGTTGTGTTGAATTGTATGTAGATGTCTTCATTTGTCGAATTGCCCTCTTCGTTTTAACGATTTGCGCCTTCACATTTGCATTAGATCCACCTTTTTTATCAGTCATGTTGCTCAGTTAAGCAGAGATTTTCACATCTTCCAAGTATTCTCGGTAAAGTGTGATTTGGTTGTTGCATGTTGTGTTGTATGGTAGGATGTTGCTATTTGCTTTGTGTATGTTGATTTCTGTTATTGATGTAGAGGCTTCTACTACACTGGTCATCTTCTCCTACATTTGTTATTGTATGTGGGACATATTGTCTACATCATCTGCGATGTGTAGATCGTCAAGCTGCATCTGGGCTATGCATTGTATCATGGCTTTGGCCTGAAAAGTTGACTTTTTTATGATCTAGTCGAACACTATGAAAAGAAGAAAGGATGAGATTAAGCAATCTTATCTGACACCGGTCTTCACTTGGAAGGAGTCTGGGATTTGTATTCCATGCACGACTTTGCGGTTTAGTTAATCACAATATTTCCCCAGGCATACCGTAGTGTCGAATGAGCCTCCATAGTGTCATTCCTTCCACACTGAAAAATGCTTTCTCGTAGTCAATGAAGTTGATGTTTAGTGGTGAATTCCATACAGTTTATCCTGTCAAAATGATCCGCATTGTTTCGTTTTGGTCGATATATGACCGATACTTGCGGAATCCAGCCTGCTCATTTCGAAGTTGAGTGTCTGATGAATTGTGCATTCAATTAAACAACACAGTATTGAAGAGGTTTCCTGGTATTGTGATATGTTCGTCACTTAGGATGCTTGAGGCTATTACGAGTTTACCTTGATCGATAAACGCGAACGAGACTTTTACCAGCTTCCAGGAAGGCTACCTTGAATCCAAACGGTAAAACAGAAGTCTTGGTAAGCGTAGAGAGTATATTCTACAAACACCCAGCAATCACACAACAACCAAGCATACAACTCTCGTTTATTTATACAACATAACAACGTCCTTGAGACAGTTAAGAAAATAGCATACTAAAATACACTGCAGCCAATCACAGCCATTGATTTTGCTGGTGGGAATTGAAATCTCAAGGTCATCTGATCAGCCCATGCTAGCGAAACGTGAAAACCAAAATACGGCATTACCAAGCGAATTTTGGGGATCTAACATCCCCAACACTCCTCCCCTTTTTAATAGCTTGTTCTCCTGGGGTCGACTTGCATCTTGACTATTGTTCGCCGCTGTCTGAGGGGATACCTTCGGGAACGAAGAACAGCTTGCTGCTGAGTTTCTTCTCGTGGCGGGGCTCTCGGTAGGTTGAAGGTATCAAGCAAGATGTCAAGGGGAAGGCTTTCTGCTCTTGATGGGCGATCTGGGGCTAGCCGTCTGCGTATCTGATTGCGATGACGTGACCATTTATCACCTCCTACCTCTACTTCGTACATAACTCGACCAACCCTTCTGACCACTCTCGCTTCTACCCAAGGACCATGGTTCGTTCTGTAGTCGCGGGCAAACACAGGGCATCCCACCTCGTAAGCGGATTGTCTTTGCTGCTTTGTCTCTACTGATGAGGGTGCATTGGTCGGATGCATCAGGCTGTGAATCGTTTTCAATCTTCTTCCCATCAGGATTTCAGCTGGGGACTTTTGCTCCGGTAACAATTCATTTGGTGTTGTCCGATAGACGTACAAGAAATTTTGTAACGTTTCGGCTGGCGTCCCCTCCCCTTTTGACTTGAGCAGTGCTCTTTTAAACGTATCCACAAACCTTTCCGCCTGCCCATTCGATTGCGGGTGGTATGGTGGCGAGCGTAAGTGTTTAATAGCTAGCCGTTGACAGAAATTCTGGAATTGGGAAGAGGTGAATTGAGAGCCATTGTCGGATACGATCACATCTGGTATGCCATTTCGTGAGAAAATTTCAGTTAGGAGCTGTATAGTCTTAGTTGTAGTGGGCGGCATAACGGGGCTGATTTCCGGCCATTTAGAAAAGGCGTCGACGACAATTAAATACATAGTTCCATTTATTGGGCCAGCGAAGTCGACATGTATCCTGGACCAAGGATGCTCAGGTTTGGGCCATGAAACCGGCGGAATTTTGGCATTCATCTTTGCCGCCTGCTGACACCGGATGCATTTTTCAACCAACGCTGTGACATGTTGATCCATGTGAGGCCAGTATGCATAACTCCTGGCTATGGACTTCATTCGTTTAATCCCAGGATGACCAAGATGGAACTGTCTCAGCACTTTTGCACGAAGGGATTCTGGCACGACTACTCTTTCACCAAACATCAGACAATCGTTTACGATGCATAGTGACTCCCGCCGCTGATACAGTTGCTTCATGTCACCTTCAAACTTTTTCGACGGCCAACCGTTAGTGACATATTTCATCGTCATCTTGATGATGGGGTCGTTTCTAGAAGCATTTTGTATGTCTGTTGCAGACACCGGTAATGCGCGAACTGCGGTTGTCAGATCACATTCTGCGTGGTCTTCTACTGACAGAGATGCGATCACCATGTTTTCCTCAGCCGCCACTTGATCATTAATGAGTCGTGACAAAGCGTCTGCTTGACCGAATTGTAGAGTGCGTCGATATTGGATTTCGAAATCATACCCCAAAAGTACCAAGGCCCATCGCTGAAGACGATTTGCAGAATGGGCTGGAATGCCAGACTTTAAACCAAATATTGCTAACAGAGGCTTGTGATCTGTGAGGAGCGTGAATCTCCGACCGTACAGAAACTTATGGAAACCGTGAACAGCAAACACAAGGGCAAGAGCTTCTTTCTCTATCTGGCTATACTTCTTTTTTTGCTAGGGTCAGTGTACGGGATGCATGCATAACGGCTTTTTCTGAAGCGTCTGGAAACTGATGTGAAATAACAGCACCTAGGCCATATGCTGAAGCGTCTGCTGCTACGATGATCGGCATGGATGGATCGTAGTGTGTTAATAACAATTCCGAGCTAATTATAGACTTGAGTTTACCAAAAGCCGCGTCACACTCTTTAGTCCAGTTCCATGTGCTATGCTTCTGCAGTAGACAATTCAATGGAGCGCGAATATCATGCATCGAGGGAACAAAAGCTGAATAATAACTGATCAAACCGAGAAAAGATCGTAATTCGGAAACATTAGTGGGAGTAGGCATCAGTTTGATAGCTCGGATGTTTTCAGGATCCGGTCTGCGACCGTCGGCATCAAAGATGAATCCCAAATACTTTACCGACTGCAATAGAAACTGGCATTTTTCTGGGCGTAACCGGAAACCATTGTCACTGATGCGTTGTAGTACCAATGTCGTGCGTTCCCGTAGCTGTTCTAACGTCTTCGCAACAATCAAGATATCATCGAGATAAGCTGCAACCCCTGGGATATCTGACAGGATAGTATCCATTAGTTGTTGGAAGATAGATGGCGCAGTCTTAACTCCAAAAGGTAGGCGGTCATACTGGAACAAACCACGATGAGTGTTGATAGTAAGCAGCTCTTTAGATGCTTCATCGACTTCCACTTGCAAATAAGCATCAGCTAGGTCAAGCTTTGCGAAGAACTTTCCCCCATTCAGCATAGTGAACAGATCTGCTGGGACTGGCAGAGGATAATGATGCTGTTCTAGAGCTGCGTTGAGACCTGTAGAGAAGTCAGCACATATACGTATCGTGCCGTTGGCCTTCTTGATAACGACTATAGGTGCTGCCCAACTGGAGTAAGAAACGGGAGTAATAACTCCTTGTCGTTGAAGGCGATCCAGCTCTTCATCTACTGTTGCTAATGTAGCATACGGTACAGGCCTCTTTGGACGAAAAGCAGGCTTAGCCCCATGTTTCAACCGAAGTGTTGCTTTCATAGCAGTGCACCGACCTAATCCAGGTTCAAAAATGGTTGAAAACTCTGTCATTAGCTTCTTCGTATACGCTTCTGCGTCATGTCGTTGTGATACCAGGTTGCATATGGTATTTAGCGGGACATCAGCCAATTTTAGCTGGTCGAACCAATCTAAACCAAGTAAATTTAGATCAGCTGGCGTTATATAGCATACCCCAGTAAACGACGAATCCCGGAAAGCAACTTTACATTCCAATTGTCCTAACAGACGAAGATAATTACCACATGCTGTGCGAGGCTTTTGTGTTGTGTGCTGCAGGCTTGGGCTGCCCAATTTGGTCCAATTTTTGCGTGAGAGGATAGTGACATCAGATGCAGTATCTATTTGCATTCTACACAAATAACCGTTAATATTAAGAGTAATAAATTTCCTCTCACCTGGTGATGAGCTTTGGCAGGAAGATATTAGGCTCAATGCATTGGTACTGGATCTAGGAACAGGCTTCTTAGCACTTCTGGATCGCTTTGGCTTTTTCTGTAGGCAAAAGCCATCTTTATGACCGATGACTTTACACTTCCTGCATCTATGCTGCCTAAATGGGCAGTTCCGTACATAGTGCCATGAACCGCAGTGCCAGCAAGCAGAAGGTGGATTCATTTTGGGTTTTTGGGCCGAATTGGAGCGGGGTGAACTGGGTGTAGCACGGGCAGACTTATAATGATTAGGTGGCTGCTGTACCAAATGAATTTCAGATCGGCTTGAACTACCATTCTGAACTATAGTCGAGTCTCGTTGTAGGTTAGTGAGACGTTGGTACTCATGAGCCATATCATTAAGCGTAAGCTTTGGATCTTGCTCCAACCGACTTAGTAGCCTTGTTCTAATGTCACTAAACTTACTCGACTGGAGGCTGCAGATGAGTATAAGGGCTTTGAACTGGTCTTCCGACAAAGACTTCAACCGAAAACGTTCGCATTCACGGTTGACGATGCCCACGTGAGTAAGAAAATCATCATCTTCGTTCATAATTAGCTTCAAACATCGATAACGAGTATTAAATAGTGACGAGTTGTCTCCAAAGTGTTGGCTTAAAGTCTGGACAGTCTCAGAAAACGAACAGTCTCGTGGGTTCAAAGGCAGGATCAAATTACAGTACTTATCCAGCTCACTTGCGCCCAACTTTCGAAGTAGCAGCCGAACCTTCCAAGCATCATCTTGGTTGGCGAAGTCAAATTTAAATAAATCTTCATAACGCCGGAACCACATGTCAAAAGTGACATTTGCATCAGGATCATAATGAAATTCAGATATGCTATTTGCGATGCCGTCGACCGATGGAGCTGTGGTTGCATTAGATGAGCTGGGCTGTGTGGAAGGGGAAATCTTCATGTCTGTCAACATCTGCATCAGTTTCAGCTGCTGCTCAAGTAGTAATTCAAGTTTGGCAGGATCCATATTTCCAAAAGCACCGTCGCCACTGATATGTTCGTCACTTAGGATGCTTGAGGCTATTACGAGTTTACCTTGATCGATAAACGCGAACGAGACTTTTACCAGCTTCCAGGAAGGCTACCTTGAATCCAAACGGTAAAACAGAAGTCTTGGTAAGCGTAGAGAGTATATTCTACAAACACCCAGCAATCACACAACAACCAAGCATACAACTCTCGTTTATTTATACAACATAACAACGTCCTTGAGACAGTTAAGAAAATAGCATACTAAAATACACTGCAGCCAATCACAGCCATTGATTTTGCTGGTGGGAATTGAAATCTCAAGGTCATCTGATCAGCCCATGCTAGCGAAACGTGAAAACCAAAATACGGCATTACCAAGCGAATTTTGGGGATCTAACATCCCCAACATATTGAGAGATGGCTGATGCCTTACATTTGCTGTGATTGCCTTTCTTTATTATGCTTTTGATGAGGTGTGCTTTTTTCCAGTCTGTTGGTACTTGCTCTTGATCTTAAATGTTAAGCCCACATGGCCTGTCCAAGCTTTACGGCAATCTAATTTAAATTTTTCTGCCCGACTTACTGCTCACACGTTTTGCCTTCACTTGATTACACGTGTCCTTTGCTTAATTCACTTGTTACATGTCTAAATTACTTTTTCTGACTGCAAATAGTCAGACACGCCTTCATCTCAATGTGTTAGCTCATTTAACTTTTCCTCTTTGCTCCGCTTTGCTCTGCTTTGCTTTAACACTTTGTATACTCATGTCGGTCTGCATGAAATAAACTCATCCAGCTGTATCCATATTAAGGTTCTTAATACCTCCATCGCACAAACGAAGTTCACCTAAGTACAATCAACAAAAATTGAAAAGTAGATTGTATGTTATAACATATTCAGTCATTCGTCCAAATCGGAGTCAGATCTCCAGCCATTATAATAAATTTCTACATTCTCTCAACACAAATAAGGCAACAACATGAAAATCACCATTGTGAATTGAACAGTTTCTTCATCAAATCAAAACATAATTTGTATGCAATGAGTGACAAATTTTTCTAATTATGATCAGAAATTATTATAGTTATTCATAGTCTTTATTGTTGTTTACAGCATTATATACATAGTTCTTCTATTAATATGGGTATTCGTCCCAGTATTAACACGAAAATATCCTTACAATATATTGTATCTATTATTGATGGTGAGTGTGTATGTACATATATGGTTACATTTCAGTTCAAGTCTGTACACATTACTTACTTACTTACTTACGCCTGTTACCCCCAATGGAGCATAGACCACCCACCAGTTTTCTCCAACCAACTCTGTCCTGGGCTTCCGTCTCCAGTTCTGTCCAATGTTTGTTCATTCCTCTCATATCTTTCTCTATTTCTCGGCGTAATGTATTCCTTGGCCATCCTCTTTTCCTTTTTGCCTTGAGGGTTCCATGTGAGGGCTTGTCTCGTCACGCAGTTAGGTGCTTTTCGTAGTGTGTGTCCTATCCATTTCCACCGCTTCTTCCTCATTTCCTCCTCCACTGCAATCTGGTTTGTTCTCTCCCACAGTTCGTTGTTGCTGATCGTGTCTGGCCAACGAATACGAAGTATTTTGCGTAGACAGCTGTTAATAAACACTTGTATCCTCTGGATGATTGCTTTGGTAGTTCTCCAAGTTTCCACTCCATACAGTAGAACTGTCTTGACATTTGTATTGAAAATGCTGATTTTGGTGTTGGTTGAAAGTTGTTTGGATTTCCAGATATTTTTCAACTGTAGAAATGCAGCCCTTGCTTTGCCAATCCGGGCCCTCACATCTGCATCGGATCCACCTTGATTGTCGATGATGCTGCCCAGATATGTGAAGGTGTTAACGTCCTCCAAGGCATCTCCATCAAGTGTGATTTGGTTGGTGCATGTTGTGTTGCATCGGAGAATTTTGCTTTTACCTTTATGTATGTTGAGACCTACTGCGGCAGAGGCTACTGCTACACTCGTCGTCTTCTCTTGCATTTGTTGTTGAGTGTGAGATAGAAGAGCCAAGTCATCTGCGAAGTCCAGGTCGTCCAGCTGCGTCCCAACTGTCCAGTTGATACCGTGCTTCCCTCCAGATGTTGACGTTTTCATAATCCAGTCGATGACCAGGAGAAAGAGAAAGGGTGAGAGTAAGCAACCTTGCCTGACACCGGTCTTCACCTCAAAAGAGTCTGTCAGCTGTCCTCCGTGCACGATTTTGCAGTTGAATCCATCATAAGAATTCCGTATGATGTTGACTATTTTCTCAGGCACACCGTAGTGTTTTCCTATCCACGCTATCGAATGCTTTCTCGTAGTCGATGAAGTTGATGTAGAATGGTGAGTTCCATTCAATTGATTGTTCCACAATGATCCGTAATGTAGCAATTTGGTTAGTACATGATCGATCCTTACGAAATCCGGCCTGTTGATCTCGAAGTTAGGCGTCCACGAAGTCCTTCATTCTGTTTAACAATACCCTGTTGAAGACTTTGCCTGGTATTGAAAGAAGAGTGATGCCTCTGTAGTTCTCACACTTGCTGAGATCGCCTTTCTTTGGTATTTTGATCAGGTATCCTTCTTTCCAATCTGATGGTACTTGTTCCTCATCCCAAATCTTCTTGAAGAGAATGTGAAATATTTTCGCAGTTGCTTCTACATCTGCTTTCATTGCCTCTGCTGGAATGTTGTCTGGTCCTGCTGCTTTGCCGTTCTTGATTTGTCTGATGGCCATACTGATCACCTCAATCGTAGGTGCGCCAATGTTAATTGGGAGGTCCGTGGATGCTGCTTCGATGTTGGGTGTGTTCAGTGGAGCTGGTCGATTCAATAGTTCCTTAAAGTGCTCTACCCACCTATTTCGTTGTTGTTCAGTGTTGCTGATTACTTTGCCTTCCTTGCTTTTCACTGGTCGTTCTGGTTTACGATAGTTTCCGGCCAGTTTCTTTGTTGTTTCGTACAATTGTCTCAAGATTTCTTCTCTTGCAGCGTTTTCCGCCGTCATTGCTAGATCTTCCACATATTTTCGTTTGTCAGCTCTGATGCTCTTCTTCACTTCCCTGTTCGCTTCTGTGTATGCAGCTTGTGCGGTAACTTTCTCCGCTCTTGTCCGGCTGACATTGATAGCTGCCTTCTTGTTCCTCCTTTCTTCAATTTTTGCGAGAGTATCAACAGAGATCCATTACTTGTGATGGTACTTCTTGTGACCCAGAACTTCGTGACATGTTGAAGTGATTGCCTCCTCAATCCCTTTCCAATTGTTCTCCAATGTTGCGTCTTCTCCATTGTGTAGATCCTGAAAGGCCTGGAACCTATTGGTGAGGGCTATCCTGAATTCGTTGAGCTTTACAGTATCCCGAAGAAATGCCGTATTAAACTTCTGTGATGTTGTCTGCCCCGTTGTCCAGTGCTTCTTTAGTTTCAGTTTCATTTTGGCGATTAGCAAATGGTGATCTGAGGCTATATCAGCTCCTCTCTTGGTTCTCACATCCTCCATATTCCTTCTGAACGTTTTGTTGATACAGATATGATCAATCTGGTTTTGAGTAGTGTGATCCGGTGAAATCCATGTGGCTTTGTGTATGCGTTTGTGCGGGAATATTGTGCCACCGATGACCAGTTTGTTGAAGGCACATAGGTTTGCAAATCTCTCACCATTTTCGTTCCTTTCTCCCAGTCCATGTCGTCCCATGATGTCTTCATATCCAGTGTTGTCCATTCCAACCTTGGCATTCAGATCTCCCATAAGAATGGTCAAATTTTTTGATGAGTATCTGTCGACTATTGACTGCAGCCTTTCGTAGAATTGATCTTTAACGTCGTCATTGTAGTCATTGGTAGGTGCATAACATTGGATGACGTTCATTGTAATGTCATTTTTCTTTGTTTGGCAGGATGCTTTAATGATCCTCGGTCCATGAGATTCCCATCCTATCAGTGCCTTTTGTGCATGTTTGGACAGCATCAATGCAACTCCTTGTGTATGTGAAGCATTTTCCTCTTCATGACCAGAGTATAACGGCAGTTCCCCTGAAGCTAGTCTCAACTGTCCTACCTGTGTCCAATGCGTTTCACTGATGCCGAGCACCTCGAGGTTGTATCTTTTCATTTCTGCCGCAACTTGAAATAGTCTTCCAGTCTCCCACAATGTACGAACGTTCCATGTACCTAAAAAAATGGTTGCTCTGGTTGTCAGAAGAGGCATCATCCCCGTGACTTCCGAGGGAACTCGGCTTTCATCACGAGACGTCATAATGCTTCTTCCAACTCCCAGGGCAGAGTTAAAATGGTTTGAATTATTTTTTCTGGTTGGCGTTTTTTTGGCAAGTTAGTTTTTGACGGAATGAGGTCGCCAACCCCATGTCCAACCCTCCTCCTTTACCCGGGCTTGAGACCGGCAGTAGCCCCGAAGGTTCTACTGGCGGAGTTTTGTACACATTAAAAGTCTGTAAAAAGGTGTTTCAGTTTAAAGCAGCTTTGTTGCATGAAAACTGCTAGGTAAACCTCTACTGACCTATTCGTCTATCTATCTATCTGTCTATCTATCCACACATCTATCTATCTATCTATCCACGCATCCGTCTATCTATCTATCTATCTATCGATTCAACACTGTCCAAATAATCTCTTAAGTTTTGTCTAGTAACCAACATTAACTGTACAGTTTTATTGATATCATCTTTATACACATGAAAGTACTGGACGTCCGTTTCATTCTAGTATAGGTCTCCTCAACAGTACACATACAGAACATGTCGACCTACACCTCATTATCAAATTAGTAATTGACCTTGTGATGTCAACTTATCATAAAGACAATTATTCATCTTGTGATTCTTTTTCCGCTCACATTATATTATCATCATTGGATATAAGTAGTATAATTTCGAACGCTGTCATTATTGTTACTATTATTATTGCGTTTGTCATCATGGCTATTATTTTCATTATCATTGCAGACAATATTTTCAACCATTGCAATTGCATCCGATGCAACTTTGTACATTGACGAGATTGTTTATCAAGTTTTCGCTGTTTCAGTGACCTTGTTCAACTACATAATTTGCATTACAGCTATTCTACAATATGACATTAGTCGACATTATGTCATCAATATGATTGTTACATTAATTAGTGATATCCTATTACTCATTGGACAAATTTGTTACATCATACTGAGCGATTATGCAGTAAGTATTTTCTGTTTTACAAAAAATTTTGTTTGATTGGAATTTGGTCAATGAGTCTATGCCATTATTCTCCGTTGTGAATGCTCTAAGATTGGTTAATTGAACTGATCATGAACTGATCAATGTTATACTAGCATTAGGAAGCTGAAAGTACTCGAAGACCGTTTTATTGTGATACTGGTGTCCTCAACGGTGCGCATCGGCGCGAGCCTTTCAAGCAGGAATAAAATCAAGAAACTTCGGTCTAATGCATGAATGCCTAACTTATTGACCACTGAACCGGTATCCAACGGTGTTAATATTTAACTTCACTCACAGATTATAAATTTGTGTGAAAATTATCAGTCTTCACAGTTGTAAACCGTTACCAGTTGAGTTTAATCTGCATTGAATGTGCGGCAGTTTACCCACCGAAGATAATGGATGAGATCATACAGTAACGTGGATTGATTCCAGTTAGACAATAATACCAGCTCACTAGTCAATAGATTAGGCGCATGTGCACAAGAGTAAAATTTCTTCGTTTGATTCCTGCTTTCAGAGTTGTGGATGCTCATCACTGAGTTTTCCAATACCAGAACGAGACATTTGTGGAATACTTTCACATTCCTAATGGTAGTCTAACACTGTTTAGTGTTCATGATCTCCATGAAACCAAACCATCTACAAACATCGTATATTGACAATGCTTAGTCTATTTAGATCAACAAGTTTCGATTCTAATGAAGAATTTCGCATTTGAAATGGAAATTCGACTAATCGTCTTAAATAAAAATAGTGAATCGGTAATAATGTGTTTCAAAACAGTGGTTCCCTTTGACAAATTCGAATAGAGAAATGAGAAGACATATTTTGTGAGATAGTACCATTTCGTGCTTTCTCGTCAGTCACATACAAGCAACATGTTATTTGTGTAAATACAGTTTTGAAGATAAGGTCAAAATTTCTTATTTAGCATGACGTTCACTCACTAGAACCATGGTAAACAAAGGTCAACATACAGTTGCTTTTGAACACATAAATTTGGACTTTTCCGACCAATCAAGATAGCTTCGAGTAGTCTCAGTGTGTGCGGGTTTTGATTACATGTTACAACTCTAAAGGCTGGTTTTGGGTCAATTTGATGACCACTCATCATTAGATGTTTTGCAATGGACGAGGCTGGGTTTCTTGATCGATTTTGAGATGATGAGCTAGGTTGATGAATCATGGATTTGACTAGCCATTTTGGAATATGTTCCCCTATCCTGTCTTCTAATCGGCGATCTGTCCTCCCTAAGTAACTTTCTCCGCAGTTACATGTGAATTGGTAAATACAGTGGAATTTGTACTGAATCGGTCTTGGAGACTTGATTGGGGTAACTGAGATCGATTGAGTTTTTGTGATAAGCCTCAAATTAGCTGCATTGAAGGTCTTTTTTATTGCAGCTGCAGTCTGTTTGGTTGTAATTTTCATGCAATGATCACCTTTGAAAGGTAACTGTAGGTACACTGGTTTCTTGGGTACATCAGTTGCTATCAGCTTCGTCGTAGTTGTGTTCTGATGACCAGTAAACCTTTCGGGATATCCGTTTGATTTAAGTGTCTCAGTAATAAGCTTGAATTCGTCGTCCAATGTATCAGCAGTGCAGATAATGCTTGCTCGAGCGAATAAAGTTTTGACAACAGAACGTTTATATTGTATGGGGCAGAAACTAGTGAAGTGGAGGTACTGTCCCGACCAGGTGGGTTTGTGGTGTACTTTTCGTCTGATTGATCCGTCTGGACTATCCGTCTGGTACTATCTCACAAAATATGTCTTCTCATTTCTCTATTCAAATAATGTGTTTGTTTGTTTCTTACATAAATATCAATTAAAATAAGATTTCAATATTGTGGAAATTTATCTAGTTCTTCATTCAAATCTAGACTGTTCTAAAGATGACAAAATCAATGATTAATAAGTTTTAACATTCAAACCATTCATTAACATTCATGGTCATGATAAAAATGATGTTTGTACTCAATTCGCTTTGTTTGTTATATACGATTAGAAAGTAGATATCCACTATTATGTTTCTATAATCAAAAAATGAAAAACACCTCGTTCATTTTTACTCATCATTCAATAAAGTCGAACATGTGAACGATTGAGTATCAATCAATAGGCTTAAAGGTAATATATACCCGTCATTACGCCGAAAAATTCTGAATTGTATACAAATATTGCGTGTTTATGAGTTTATATTTACATAGAGTCTGAAACTTACTTACTTGCTTACTTACTTACTTACTTATGCACTTACTTACTTACTTAGGCCTGTTCTCTTAAAAGAGTACAAGCCACCAAACATCAATTTCTAGCTTACTCTGTCCGCCAATCTCCTTTCCAGTTGTTTCCAGTTGCTATTCATTTTTCTCATTACTGTCATCGTTTTATAATGCAATATGCATTTTGGTCTAGCTCTTTCGTTTTGGCCATGAGGATGCCAAGTCAGGGCTTGCTTCATGAATTAGTTGGATGATTTCCATAATGTATGTCTTATCCACTCCCAACGCTTTTACCTTATTTCTTCTTCGGCTAATGAAATCTCATTTGTTCTCTCCAACAGTAGATTAATGCTGATGGAAATATTATCTTCAATAAAGTTTTGACACCTAACTAGAGCACGTGAACAACAGACTCTAGAAAACCGGTCTGGTTTCAGACCTGAACGTGCTGTATAGACCATCTATTCACACTGTGTCAGGTCCTATAACACAGACACATCTACTGACGTCCAACGATTGTTGGACCTGAAAGTGGCGTTTGACTCTGTCTACTGTGACGTTCAGTGTCGGTGTCTGTCACTGAAATATGTACCGAAGAAGTACACTAACTCTGTACAGGCTGTCTACTCAAACTGTATTGGCTGAGTCAACGCTTATGGTTTAGTTTCGTTCAGAGTGATTACTTCAAGTGGTGTTCTTCACGGATGCCAGCTCTCTCCATTCATATTGAACTTCGTTATTGACATATTCTGAGAAATAACATTATCTTTATCTGAATTTTCGGGAATCGAACTTTTACCAGGAGATTAACTTCTCGACTTAGAATATGCTGATCGCATAGCTCTATTTGGGGAAGACGATGATAAAACACAGTCTTCTGACCTCCCTAAGCAACTATGCAAACATGTTCGGGATGCCACTCACCCCGTTGAAATGCAAGATATTGCTTCATGATTGGCTTGAATCGTCAGCTGAACTAGTGATAGGGAGTGAAGGAGTTGAACATGTTGACTGCTTCACTTATCGTGGGAGTCTCATCAGTGTTGATAGCTTGGTGACACGGATACAGAATGCTTGATTGTCTTAAGCCAATGTGCTTCACTTATGGGGTAGGCGAGATATCTGTTTGCTAATCAAAGGACGAGTGTACTTCGCAGTAGTTTGCTCCATCCTACTTTATCGATGTGAACTGCTACAGAGCATATTCGTAGGCTACTAGTTTTCGATCATAGGTTTATGCGAAACATCTCTCGTATATCCTGGGAAAATCGAGTAAGCAATACTGTTGTTAGGATGGTAAATCAATAGATGAAGTATTGAAACTTCACCATTCCAGTTGGTTGGGACAGGTGTCACGTTTGCCCAACCACCGGTTGCCTTGACAAGCGATGTTGTGTGATTTAGAAGTACACCAGAAGAAAGCTAGGGGCAACCAAACTAAAGCTTGTCTCAAATCTAAGAAGTCACTGGCAAATAGATAAGGCGATGTTTCTTGATGTAGACTACGAGGTTGGAAGGAGGCGTAAGACAATAGTTATCGGTGGTTAGAGACTTCGAACGATATGTCTCAAAATCGTTTTCCATTATCGCTAACACTTCTGCCGCCTTTCATACTATAGCATTTGACTTGACAGTTTGAATAATTTATGGTAATAGGGTGTAGCATCGTGAACAGATGTACACGAGTACAAAGTTCTGTGTTGTTTCGAAGAAGAAGAAAATGATGATTCATGAGAAATGAATATTAATGTTCAATAGTCAATAACTAGATAAATAATTGTTTTACTTGTTTCTTTTTCGACAACAACAACAACCAAAAGAACTTGAGAATGTTCTTTTTTCTCGTTTGTAATTTTGTAATTAGATTATACTTGTTGTTGCCGGTGTCATTACACTTCCATTTGCAAGTTTTGTAAGTTATTCGTATTATTATTTATGATTATTATTAGTAGTAATGTTACTACATTTTGTTCAATACAGTTTATTATTATCAATTACTATCTCTGTACTTATATAATAAATGGTACTATTGCGGTGGTTTTCAAGAATTCCCATCACATCACGTAGACTTCTGAAGATGACTGATTAGAGCATGTCGATGTGTGCACCTGTAAGCTCTAGATCAATGATTTAGAGGGTGAATGTTTCTTGTACAAGATCAAAAATTGTTGAGTGCGACGATATGAAGTCCGTTTTATGAACGTTTTAGCAAATAATATGCAACAAGAATTGAAGACTTCACTATTCTATGCTTGAATGACGACTTAATACAAGACTAATGATATTCCTCTATATACATATATATATACAACCAGATCACATCGTACTAATACATGGAAGTGAACAACAGTAAATGAATGAGCCAAAGGTGACTGTGACTAGTGGAGACTGCGAATCACAAACAAAGAATAGTATTCTGTAAAGCAGTAATTATTGAGTAATTCAAGACCTGGAGATAAAAACAATATACATAGATACAAGTCTTGTTACTTCACAGTTATACAATAAAACTGTGTACAACAATAATCCATAAATTAGGTTCTTAAATAACTGTTTACTTTATAGTTCATTCGGATATAATACTGTGAACGTTCCTTTAAGTGAGATTGAAAGTAGCTGCTTCGTTGCTGTTTTCAAGCTGATTTATTCATGGTAAAAATTAGTGACGGTTGACTTGAGTTGATCAAAACGATCGTTCGAAATAAGCGGTTCAGTGAAAGGTTTGTTTAATAAGATTCTGAAGTTGTGTTTCGGTGTGGAATTTATCAATCTCCGTAGAAGTATTGCACAATGTCGCACCGAACGACAATGGTCGCATTTGTAGCAAGGATACATGTGTCAATTTACAAATTCTCATTACTGTTCTATTCAATACTTGGAACCTTTTAATAATCTTGACCGTGTCGCACAACACCACTTCACTTTTATTAATAATTCTGACTACTTTATTATATTAGTTCACCTTACATAGAAATCATAGCGTCTATTCATTAGATTCCGCTAGGGATCGTCGGATAACAGAATCTCCAATGTGATCACTAATAAAAATGCAAACCCATACTTGATGACCTTGAACTAAAAGTTTTCGTTATTCAATGAATGAAATTATCAATGAATAAATTAATTAATTCATGATTAAAATTCCTAATTTAACTTGACATAAACTATTTTTTTTCTACAGAAATTATTATTTGAAATGAAAAAAATTTTCAGAACTGGTAAATTTGGTTATAAGAGAGAAGATTTGGTTTTAGCATCTGGAATTCTTTACAATTCTTGGTGGAGTTTATTTCTCACAGTTTTATGGACATCTTCAATGACAGGTTTAAATCAGACGAAATTAATAGACATCACTACTATTCCTACTTCATGACATCGTCAACTAAATTGTTTGATTATGCACAAAATTTGTCCGATACTACTTATTTTTAAAGGATAGTAGTATTACAGGAATGTGTTTTGATTTGTTATGCGTCTTTTTTTGAGAGCGAGACAATTTTTCATTCACTTTTCTCCAAATAAACATCTACATTTCAATATTCAGTGTGTTGTGAAAGGTGATTGTGTTTTTGAAAGTTATGTGTTCTCATCAGAATCGGCAAATCTTTTGACGGATACCTCTTGACGATTGACTATTGTCTGTCATAGTAGTTGATGTGTAACCGGATCATTGATACCGTGGTTTGAGGCATAGCATTGAATGATATTGATTGTAGTGGCATATCGTTTTGTCATGGAGGATGCATTGATGATTTTGGGTCGTGAGCCTCTTTAGATAACAGTAATGCAGCGAAATATCAGTGTGAGACATTAGCTTCCGTATGACTAAAATACAACAATATCTCTTCCCCAAAATTAAGTATTGAGTCTAAATTATATCCAAATATGTTTCACTTATTCCAAGTACCACTAAAGTATATCATCGCATTTTTCTGCATCTGCGTAAATGGTGCCTCCGTTCTACCACATTGTGCGGACATTGCATGTTCCTATCTCAATAGATGAACTGATCATCAGAAGGAATATCGTCTTTGTGACTTTTGAAGTAACTCAGCTTCCATTATGAAGCGGTATAGCTCCAGTTAATAAAGGTCCTTCAACTATGATGGCAGAGTTTATGTGATTTAAGAGAATTTTCTGTGGTTAGCGTTTTCTTAGCAAGTTTGTATTCAACGGGAAAGGGTTGCTTACTCCATGCTACACGCATCTCTTTTATTCAAGCTTTAGACGGACATTGTCACTAGAAGTGTCCAGGCGGATAAATCTACAAAGAATATTTATCTGACTGAAAATTTTTAATAAAAATGTGTACAACACAATAACTACTTAAATAAAACTTAAAGAATGGTTCTTACTACATGAAAAAATATTCAATTAGTGTCTTCCTTCCACCTAGAAATTTCTGATATTTTAATTGAAAATAACTGAATAAATCTTACTTCCTCCTCATGAAGCTTAAGTCGCTGACCAACCAACTGTGTGCCGGGACTTTATTTCCACTTCTACTTAATGACAGTTCACTCTTTTCATATCAGTCTTCGATTCTTGGCATAAATGCGTAGTTTGGTCTCTTACTTTTCCTTTGACATTGAGGATTATAAATGAGAACTCGCGAGGTTGACCTAGCCGGATGATTTCTGACCTGCGTATCCCATTCATGTCAATTGCTGATTCCTCATTTCTTCCCCACTCAAAACGAATCTGGTTTATTCTCTTAATTAAAAAACTATCCAGTAAATAGTCAAGTGTTTATTATTTAAACAACATTTGAGAAAAGAAATGATTTTGTTTATTTCAAAATGAAATATTGAAAAATAGAAAAGAAAAATTCAAATCAAAACGCAACACAACAAAACACTCATTTCAATGTCCAATTAAATTTATTCCTGGTGTGTTTATCGACATGGATTAAAGTGCATCAATTTGTTTATCAACATTTTTCAAAAACAAACAAAAAATTGTTTTTTGATCATGAACATGATGGATGACCAGAATATCATCATCATCATCATTGAACATTGACAAAACAGAAATGGGAATCTTTTTTTGTTTGAGTAGAGGTAGGTTGACAATGCAGTTCTGGTTATTGTATGTGTAAATTCCGGTTGTTTGGAATCTTTCATCAAACTGCTATGGACACACACAGTTTTTTATGTATATGAATGAGTTTTTCATTTGTAAATAATGAATTAAGTTGTATTCATCATCATTAGTGATAATGACAAAAACAGTCAAAGTTCAATTCTGTGTGTGACTTCAAGTTACAATTAAGCTGATTATATATATTTGTATATATATGTATGTACGAATCAGTTGTGTAATTATTTTTATTTTTCAAATTCATGAAAATTTCAATAGCATTTATTAAAAAATCAAACATTTCCACAAATTGCTTACACATAAAATTGTTAGAACATAGTGAAATATCCTGTTTTTATGAGTTGAATATTTTTCATCAATCATCATACAGTCAAATTCTATTGAAGTGAAAAAACAGATTTATTGGAGTGTATTGGTGGGTGTTGTAGTATTCAAATTGAGGATTGACTACTAACCTCTGGATTACTGAACCGGCATTCAACGGAGTTCATGTATTACTCTTATCGTTCTAGGTATTTTACGCGACCTCAGTCAGTTGTCTTCAGTAGTTCCTAGCTACGTTGTACAAGGTTGAACCTCTACTGGTCAGGACTTCTCATTAGACTACTGAGAATTTCCTCACGAAGCTAGTCACTAGTGAACATATTGTGCAGCTTTTTTTACGTGTTCTGTAGTGTACAAAACCGGGTATTCATAATGTAACAACTATATCGTTTTATTCTCCATTTATTTTCAAACCGAATTCAATCCTCACTTGCCTTCCTTTTTCACTTAACATCACAGAAACAATGAGACGTCATTGTGAAACTGAAAATGTGGTCAACACTTACAAACAATTAAGAAAGTGTGATTTGCAATCATCACAACCAAAAGTATCAATTCGTCGAAATCAATATTCAAGTGATGAAAATATTTTCACTTTGAATGTAAGCAAAAAGTACATTTTATTCTATACGTAATTCATTAATTATCCGGTGTGATGTGTGTTTTATTTTTCACATACCTGACTGACTAAATTATTTCTTGTTGAATATTATTGTTCTAACAAGTATTGAATATTGAAAGATAAACTGGTATCATTTATTGAATGATTGAAAATGCATATATATGTATATACGTTTATTGACAGTTGAACTTCGTTCCATTCAAAAAAAATTAGTTTTCGTCATCACAGTTCAATAGATTTTTTAAATGTGTACTTATAAAAAATACTGTCTAGAAATTTATTTGTTTCAAAAAAAATTCAAATTATGAATCGATCAATGTTAGATAACTATTAGAAATGTGAAAGTACCGGAAAGACGTTTTGTCTTAGTAAAGGACTCATCTAGACTGTAGATTGATTGAAGTTATTCATTCACACCTTTGGATGAGTGGTCTATGGTTAATGCGTTAGCAAGCAAGACCGAAGGTCCTTGGTTTGATTCTTGCGAGATGGAGTCATGGAGTCGTATACTGTTAATGAGCCCCAGACCAGGATGAAACGACCATCATCCAGCTCTATCAAGATTCTTTAATGATGGCCTAATATTGATCAATTCATGATATCAAGGAAACTCAACAATCTTCACAAATAGAATTCAATTGTCTAGCCTCCTTCGCATCACAAATTTCATCTTCGTTAGACAAATGAAAGTATACTTTGGTCAAATCGTTTATCTTTATTAGTAAAGCATATTCATGATTGGCTAAGTGAACTTTGTTGACAAACCAAAAATCAGTGAATAATAATTTCATCCATCTCTCTATATTAATGTACAAGATGGTTGAATTTTCCTCACTATATTACGTAAATTCAACAGTTGCTCACTTACTTACTTGCTTACTTACTTACTTACTTACTTACTTGCTTACCCAATGGAGCCTAGGCTGCCAACTCCTCGACCTTTCTTCCTAGTTCTATTGCTGTTCATTCTTTTCACATCTGTCTCTGGTTCTCGGTGTAATGTGTTGTTTGGTTTGCCTATTTTCCTTTAATATTGAGGATTTTGAATCATGTTTGTAACGTAGGTGGTTACTTTCCGCAATATGTGTCTTATCTACCTCTTACGCTTCTTCCTGATTTCTTCTTCTGCTGGGACCTAGTTTTTTTGTATCCCACAGCAGGTTGTTACTGGTTCAACAGTTGCACTACACTAAAAATTATCATCTGTCTTATGAAATTTTTTTTCAGTTACCGAATGTCATATTATTTCATATAATTTGAGTAATCAATTAGAACTTTTATTTACAGTGACATTTGATTAATTTTCACTATACGGTTGTCGAAATTGTTGAGTTTCATTGAAATCGTAAGTCAATCAATGTTAGACCATCATTAGATTACTGGAAGCACCGGATGGCCATTTTGTCCTGGTATTAAACTCATCAGTAGTGAGCATCCGTAGACCCCAGTCCGAAGAAATTGAACCAAGAACCTTCCGTCGTACTCACGAACCCTTAACCTGTTGACCCTGGCATCCAATAGTATCATTGTTTAACTGCGATCAATCCGCAGTCTTGCGCGACTGTTATTATTAATTTACATCTGAAATACGTTGATAAGTGTATATATGTGATCGGATCATTCGAAATATAGTAAGCACAAATATTTCGTCTATCTTCAAAGCAACTACATACTCTGATTGTTCTACAGAAAATTTCTAAATTCAAATTAATTGTTTTAAAAACAATTTCACTCGATCAAACTATCAAAACATGTGAATTCTCATATAAAACATGTAAATCCATTTCAAGATTACAGTATCATTTCAACTGAAACAAAGATGCACTCAAAATCAAACGAGTATCTACCATAATACATTTCTACTTTGTAGATTTCATTGGTCTTCAATATATAAAATGACATAATAATGCTTGTCTATTCTACTATATTTACAGGTATTTGCAATTAGTATTCTTCGATTGGCAATCAGTTTTGCTGGAATAAACTTATTTATTCAAATGTATGTCATGTTGTTGTTGCTAGTTTTTCTGATTACTGAATTGAAATTTCATTTTTAGTCCAGCGATCCGTGAATGGACTGAACAGAATCAATTAATTTTATGGATATTAACGTAAGGAAATAACTTTGTTCACGATCATTATCCAACAATAATATTTATTATTATTATACATAGTGAACATTTGATTAATTGTTCGTTACAGAACAGTCTCATCACTCAAGTTCATATAATATTGATTTCTGTGTGAAGATGAACTCCGTTGGTTTCGGTAGTATATTCATTTCAGGTCAAACGGATATTTCACTGAGTGAAATGATTTTGCAATCC